GACGCGGGGAGGTGGAGAACACGACAGTCGACAAAGCGGAGAGGCGGTGAAGCGGGGAGTGGCGGAGAAGAGGGGGTCAGGAGGCGACCAAGTGGGAAGACGGTGATGCTGGGAGGCGGCGAAACTGCGAGGTGGCGAAGTGAGCTGTCAGCGGTGCGAGAAGGAGCGAAGTAGGGTGGAGCGAAGCGGGGAATCGAGCAGTCAGCAGGGTGAGGAGGCAAAAAAAATGGGAAGGCGGAAAGGCGTAGAAGTGGTGAAGCGGGGAGGTGGCGAATGGGGAGGAGCGAAGCAGGGAAGCGGCGAAGCGGGGAGGTGGCAAACCAAGCAGTCCGCGAAGCGGAGCGGCTGAAAAGTGGGAATGTGGGGAAGGCGAAAAGGCAGGAAGGTCGGGGAGGCGCCGAAGCGGGGAGATGGTGAACGTGGGAGACGCCCGAAGAGGGGGAGGGTGACGAAGTTGGCCAGAGCGGGGTGTGAGTGAACGCGGGAGAGGAGAAGAAGAGGTGCAGTGTGCGAAACAGGGAGGTGGCGAAGTGGCGAGGCGGGGAGGCGCCGAGGTAGGGAGCGGGCAGCGGGGAGGAGCAAAGCGGTGAAGCGGTGAAGCGAGGAGGTGGCGAAGCGAAAAGTCAGCAAAGCGGGGTGGCTCCGAAGTGGGAAGGTGGGGAAGTGTAAAGGCAGGAAGCGAGGAGGCGCCGAGGTGGGGAGATGGTGAAGTGGGGAGGCTGCGAATCGGGGAGTCGTCTAAATTGGCCGGCGTGGTGTGAGCGAAGCGGGAAGGAGAAGAAGAGGGCAGTGTGCAAAGCAGGGAGGCGGCGAGGCAGGGAGCGGGCAGCGGGGAGGAGGGAGGAGGGAGGCAGAGGGTGGGCGGCGCAGCTCATTAGCCGGCGCCGTGTTCCTGTGGCACGCCGCGTGGAGTGGGCGGGCGCGCGAGCGAGCGAGCGACAAGTGAGCGATGGCGGCAGAGGGGGGGGGGCGAGAGGCGACGAGACGCTTCGGCGAGAGACGAGTGTCACTGAGATAAATGCTCCGCCATCTTTTACTCGATATTTACACTTCCTCGTCGCCAAGTTTCTCTTTACGACTCGATGCTTTATGAGGCACCTTTGCTGTTAAATATGCCGCTGCACCCTCTTGGAATCAATTTTCCAAAACGAGACTGGAGTCATCAAGAACCTACTTTTAGCGTAGAACGTAGTGAAAGGTGTATGATAATATATATTTGGAGCTATCTGATATTTATTACGCTAAAAATTACACTTTTAAGAATTGAAAGTAATTCGCTGAATACGTTAAGGAAAGAATATTTGGATCCAACATGCTAATACTGCACGCTAATTATCCACGCTTACATTTTGTACTGACTCCTAGATACTATTTTAACAATGGGCGAATTACATGACTAGTGATGTAGCCCAATTCCAAGAGTTTCATTAACATATTTGACAATCATAATTTAAAGCTTCTAATTTATGTTCCAGATTTTATCCTTAACAGATGTAACAAAATACATTTTATTAACAACAAAACTTTTTTAGAATTAGCAAGAAAAGTTGGACAAAATTGCATTAAAAATATGGGTACCTTTTCTTAATAACGTATTTTAATGATCTAGCTACTTGAACGATTTTTACGAAATTTATAGTCATAAATTGCCTTTTGTATATATCACCCATAACAGGAAAATATGGCTAAAAGGGTATTAATTGATGACACTGCAGTGCCTCGGTCCAAGAGTACCTAGTATTTAAGTTCTCTCTGTGGAAGGTTTTACGACAATAGCTTCAGAGCTAGGTGGAATTCAATCGCTATCAGAAAGAGAATTCTAGTGGCCGACTCAGATCTGTAGTTTTCTGTGGTTTCTGCGATCAACACCAGTGAATGCCGGAGTAGTACCCTTACAAACGGGCCACAGATTGCACGCGTACTTTCCTTAGTTTTTTCCTCGTCCTATCCACACCTCTTACTTATACACTCTTCACTTCCACACTTGTCGGTAGCTTCGAACATGTACCGGCTGGTGCGGTGCCCTCTGGAGGGAGATACCTGGTTGGCGAAACATCTCCACAAGCCGACGTAGGTCGGGGACTGGATTTCGCCAGCAAGAAGGGAAATAATACCGCCACTTCCCACGACGTACACATACACTACACTTGCGAGACTAATAATCTTGGCATTAATGACCTTGAAGCCGAGAATAACCAATTTTTCAATCAATAAACATCACCAAATATACCAACATCATTGAGTTTTGAATAATGCACATTCTAAGAATAACAAGGAAATTGGCACTTCCAATTCTTTTTTTATGAAATAAAAATACATAAGACTCGAGCATGTTGCGCTCCTTTGCTGCTAAAACACGTAGTCAAAATTGTAGTATTTAAGCAAGATTGTCCCCTACCTCGTTAACGATTTGCACTGGCGAACACCGATGCGAATTGATGCAAGACATTTCGGTGGTGAATGGCAGAAAACGGTGGGCGTAGTGGCAAAAGGAAGCACAGGAAGCAAAAAGTAGCGAAAAAAGGGGAGGAGAGTAGAGCGCGCGTGAGTTGCAGTTAGAATATGCGAGGACGCAGCAAGTGGGAGACGGGATAGAAGTTAGAGGCAGGAGAGAGTGAAGTGAGAGAGATAGCGGAGATAAGCTAGAGGACGGCTGTGGTGAAGCGTGAGGGCCGCGGGACGCAGACGAAAGGTGGGCTAGGGGCCATTAGGGAAATGAGGGAGGAAGCGAGAGGGAAACTGGACTGAAGCGAAGAGAAAGGAAGCCGAGAGGGAGGCGGGAGAGGAGACGAACGGAGGCGAGGGAAGCTAGAGGGAAATTGGAGGGAGGCGAGAAAAGGAGCAAGAAAGAAGCATGATTGAATGAGAGGGAAGCGAGGAGACACGAAGGCGAAACAGACGCTTGAGAGGCGAGAGAGAGGCTGGAAGGAAGCGAGAGGGTAGCGATAACGAGGCTGAAGGGTGGGAAGAAGGGAGTGGAATGGAGGCGAGAGGAAGGATGGATGGAGACGGGAGATCAAGAGCCCAATGTTGGAGGCAAACGAGAGCGGAGTGGGACGAAGGCAAGGGTGAAGCGAGAGGGAGGCATGGAGGTGAGTGGCAAGTGAGGGGGAGCGGCGGCCAGTGGGACGGACGCGAGAGGAAGGCCAGAGTAAAGCATGTCGGATACGAGGGCGAGGCGGAGGGGGGCGAAAAGGGGCGTCACGGAAGCGCCCGAGCAGGTGCCCCGGGCACCGTTCGGCGTTCACGAGACAAGACGCCCACGCGGTTGGGCGCGCGAGCGAGGGCCTCCGAGAGGCGACGAGAGCGACGAAGAGCGGGGAAAAAGGGAGATCAGCCGCGGGCTGGCGGCGGAGCAGCTGGAGCGGGTGGAAGGGGCCTCCTGCGCCTTGAGACGGCGGATTTGCATCTCAGTGACATCCCACCCCTTGCTTGCCGATGGCCGTTCCCCACCTTCTTTCCCCTTCCCCTCCCACTGCCGCTCTCCGCGCCCTCCCATTTCCTTCCTTCCCGGCGGCGCGACCCCCACGCCCCGACACAGTGGGCTTAGGACGCGATATGGGCGCTGAGCTGGCGAGAAATACGCGAGTAACTTGATCCAGGAGATAAAGAAACATTCACTTCTGGACGACAATGCATCGTCTTAAAGAGTTAAAATCCCAACTTGAGCAAACGGTAAAATATGTGGTATTTATTTATGGTTGAATAAAGTAATCAAATTTGCTTGGCTACATTTTTATAATATTTGGCGTCTGTAAGAGATTCGTTTCAGGTTTTACGGAAACGATCTTACTGATTCTTCATTTCAATGAAAGATAATTATCAATGGGGGTGCCATGGTGCATTATTATTCGCATGTGTTTGCACAGAAAATTAGTTAGTGGTGAAATTGAAGAAATGGATGTTAATTTGATATCTTTGTGTGTGCATTGGAGAGAAAAAAAGAGAAAGGTGATAGAGAAAGAAAGAGAAAGATAGAGAAAAAGGGACAGAGAGAGTGAGAGAGAAAATTCATCATGCACATCACCAAATAATACTTTCTTTATCTGTGAAACGTAAATTTTTCCATAAATTTTCGTATGAGAGAATCTCGATAAATCATTAAAGTTTACGTTATTTAAATTAAAAGTAAGTGTCTTCATAAAATAAATCAGATGAAATTAAAACGTGCTGCATTCTCTCTCTTCTTCACTCATATTGGTTCCCGTAATATCCAATCTTCCTTTCAGTGAGAAGTGACTTTATCTGCGCAGACGGAAACATTGAATGACCAGAAATGAGCGCGGTTCTTTTTAATTCAACATTGGCACTTGTACACGTGTACACTTGTTTAATGTTACTCGTACATTTTTACGTCAATTCTCACCATTACATTTTGGGAGTCATTTATTTGTAGGTCATTTTTTTGGAAAGTGTAATGGACGAAATTGATCGCGACAGGCATTCATTAAGTTTTCTTAAGTTCCTTGCCACTGTTTTTCTACCATTTACTTCAACTTTACTCTCAATATTCACCATTACCATCTCATTCTCCGTCATCATTTTGAGGGAGAATGAGGAAGATAAACAATGTGTGGAGAGATAGAAAAATGTGCAAAGCTCAAAACAATTAACAGGCATTCAATTTAATTGACGCATGTTTCTCCTTGTATAGTATTTAATAAATGTTGAATGCATTGAAATTAAGCGATCTTGAACAGCATTAATTGATTTCTGGAGAACAAGTAACCTTTCCAAGAGAAAAATATTTTCTAAATCTCCTTTTCAGTGAAATTATTTCATTCTTTCTTCAAACTTTTTTCAACATTTTCGTCAGCATTTTTTATATTTATATAGGCAATTTGATTCCCCTCTAAGCAGCCCCATTTCATGACAACACCGCATTCGCCGTCATTTCCCGCAACGCAGACATCTACTCACAAGTTGATCGATTACTATTGTCCCGCAGTTGACAGTCAGCAGACGGAAGGTTTCCTTAAAAATGATCTTGAGCTTCCTAAATGCAATTGTCCTACGTGCCAATTTGGCCCACGTCTTGCGTTGCTGGTCTGTTTGTTGCACAACGGAGAGATCAGGCTTGCTGCAATCACCGCCCTTCTCCACCCACGCTCGTGCCGCCCTCCGCGTCCTCGTCCTGCCTTGTATGCACAGCCACCACGCGCCCCCGCTCGCCCCTCCTGCGCTTCTCCCGCTCCACCCTTCCCCGCCTTCGCCGCGCCGCGCCGCCCACTTCTGTCGACATCGGCAGCTTCTCGCCGGCAAACATGTTTTCGGTAGCGCTTCGGTGTCTCTGAGACGGAGGGTCACGTGTCGATTCTAATGAAACTTCGTGGCCAACTTTTGGCGTCGAGTTGGCTCAAGAATTTGAATTCCGTGGACTCACGAGGTCCACTCTCCAAGTATACCATCCAACTCCTCGTTTCCCCATGTGTGACATGAAAATGTATCACCTGAACTTTTCGAAGTTCAACAAACATATATACCCGGATAATACGATATTAAAAAATATTTTGGGAATACTTTTTTCTTATTTACATACGTTATATGAGTTAGAACTTCAAACAGTATGTAAGAAAAAACATGTCTTTTGAATTACTTTAACAGTTACCTTCATTATAACATAAAATATCAATTATCAAATATAAAAGAAAACTAAAGTCGATGTAATCATAACACATTAAGTCTGGCAAAGAGCAATGAATTTAAATATGTATTCCATTAATAAACTGTGATGTACTACAGGAGAGACCAGAGCTATGTGGTTTAGTTCACAACGTTTTACAAAGAAAAATTAATTAACTTGCGCCAAATTTATAGTAAATTTAGATACATTTAAAAAAGAAATTGTAATAAAATACCACCTCTTATGAAACCAAGATAAATCAGAGAAGTGCAAAATTTGTAATTTGAAATATTCTCGGGTAAAGTAGTAATACCTTGAATATTGAACTTCAGATAAAATGTTAAAATGAAAATATGATGGGTTTCATAAGCTATAATGCAATGCATTGTGAAAGTTGTAGATACCATAGCGTATTTAAGATTATAGTTTCTTTTATTTTAATCGGTATCCTTTCTACAACCCAATAAAAATTATCGAATCTCGATTTATGTTCCCATCCGTAAAGAGGATTCCTTTTTTTAAGATTTCATCTTTTCTGACACAAATATAATTATATTTCTGATGCCCATAAATATGTCACACATTTTTATCTTTCAAGAACTTTGTATTTGGATTTGAGGGTGGGATAATAACTTTTGATATTTTACCAAATAAATAAAATATAATAACTCCGACGCTACTGGCATCTTAATATTTGACTTTCAATGATGGTCTTCATGGTGACGATCTTAACCCGGAAGCCTTGTAATCAGTTTACTCCAAAGAGAGAATTTTATGTTCGATTGTTCATGAAAGTGAAACTTCTTGCGACAGTGAGTTAGGACTGCCGTGATTGTATTCAGACCCCTAAGAATCTTATTTTCACCTTAATAACATTTCTGGGAAAAACCTACTGAAATATAACATTTATTAGGCAAGTTAATTTTTCTTTCCGTTCCCGCAAACACGATTGACGCAATTAATGTTGAGATAAATGAAACACACCCAGTCAGTCATGTTCTCATTTGATGAGAAATTTACTCCATGAATCGCACGAATGCCAGTAAATCGCAGAGAGTGGGTTGGGTTGCAACAATTTATATCAACATATCTCTCTATCTACTACATTAGAGTTATTAGAGAAATTCAGAAGCCCAATGTTACCAACCTTGACAATAATTTTTGAATGAAAATTCACCAAGGGGTTAATTCCTGATAAAGCAACCAAGGCACAGGCGCCGTTTGTCGGCATGCCTGATAGTGATGATGTCAGAGGGGGTGAGTGAAGGGGGGAGGGGCAATTACGTGCTCGCCTCGGAGTTTCCTCGCTCCCAAGCGTGAGGATGAAGCTCAACTTCCCCAACTCGGAGCACAGCATCTAGTGAATATTTCCTCTGTAAACATGATCCGAAGATTAGCAAGGACAATCTGCTGCCGATAGGCACTGACCTTGGTCTTCTTGTTGCGAACTAGAAACGTTAAGTACGCACGTTCTGCAGGTGAATTGAAAATCGATTTACGTGTAATAATATGTTAATGTTGGTTGAAGTAAGCAAACACTTCTCGTTAATTTATCTCAGTCCCCTAATAAGCAGCCTTGCACATCCTGGCATCCACCCCACCTCGGCCACTCTGCCCATCCTAACATCTGCCTGCCCCCACCCGCACCACAATTACTGCCCTCTCCAGGAACTTGGCCTGTTCTGCCCACTCCGTCCAACCCTGACGCGAGTTCCCAGGAGTTTATTTATTACAATCATCTTTAAAGAGCCCCGCCTGCTCTACCAGCCCCTGCAGTGGTCCCGCCGCGATTACTTCGCCCTTTCCGCTCTCTTCCCCTGACCGCCTGGCCCACTTCGTCTCTTCCCCCGGCTCCACCGTCCTCGCCTACTTACTTTGCGTCAACCGTCCACTTCGCCTGAACCGCCCTCCTACCTTCGCCTAAATTACCTGCTTCCTCCGAATCGCCCGCTTCACCCGAATCGCCCGCTTCGCCCGAATCGTCCGCTTCGCCTGAATCGTCTGCTTCGCCCGAATTGTCCGCTTCGCCGGAATCGTCCGCTTCGCCCAAATCACCCTCTTCACCCGAATCGCCCTCTTTGACCGAATCGCCCTTTGGCCCGAATCGCCCTCTTCGCCCGAATCGCCTTTTTGGCCCGAATCGCCCTCTTCGCCTGAATTGTCCGCTTCATACAAATTTCCCGTGTTGCCTCAATCGCTCACTTAGCCACTCACTTAGTCCCACCTTACCCACTTTACCTGAATCACCCGCTTCGCCCACACCATCCGCTTCCCCTTGAAGCGCCCCCTTCGCCTGAACCGCTTCTCCCTCTCCTCTCCTTTCGCCCCGCTAACCCACCCAGCCTGGCCCAAATCGGCACCACCGCGGGTTTCCTCCAATAAATATCAGAGGGTAACCAAATTTAGAATAACATATTGGGGCAAACCTTCAAATTTTTCGGATCCACAAATATATAAGAGCAAATTTTCGAAGTACGTATTCCCAGTAGTACGAATGTTATTATGGAATAAACAGACATCCATACATTCTTAAGTATTGTATTAACACTAATTTAAGTAATGCGGCGTTGACCATTTATTTAAGACAGTCGACTAAAAAGAATCCCCGCAAATCCAGCCCATCGCACTTGCTCTGCCCATAATATCCGTCCTTCCCCATTCATCACTGTCCTCGTTCCTGGTTGGCATGCCTTGATCGACACGACTAATAACAATGCAACCACAATTAACAACAAAACATTTGATTTCGATTAAGTGTGTTATTCGCTATGGCTAGTTTACCGATTTAATTGATTTACTCTCTACTCTGCTTGCTAATTTAAAACGCATGCAACCTTTTCCAAACGAACATACAACGTATGTTCCTCTTTAAAGCTACCGTTCTGCTATGACTCGTCTGCTTACTGATCGGAACTCTAGATCACAAATGAAAAAAAATCTTCTTCCCTTGTTATTGCCTTTGCTTTATTCTCACTATTTTTAGAACATTTTCCATCTAGTTGGGAAGAGACAAAACAATCGTTACGTATTCGTACAGATTTCCACTTTATTGTCATTTTACTTTTATTGATACTTTTTACTCATTACATATCCACCCATCTAGCACTAATTTCAAACACAATTCAATACATAGTAGGACATTAATTGAAAAGATATACCACGAGATATTACTAATCTACTTTAATATTTCTCTTTTAGAGAGACTTTCATGATATATTTAATGCGTCACTTTACTTGTTTTGTATTCTTCTTTGTATTATTTTCTGTCAAATCTTAGATAACAGCATACAAGTAAAATAAATCTTGCGAAGGATCTTAGGTTTCCCAGTGAAGTCGTGCCTCCAATGCGGCGTCACCCGCACATCGAAGATCATTCGCATGACTGCCCGCTGATTGATTGATTAATTGATAGTGATTCCATTCGCGTGAACTACCAGGTTCATTAGTTCCGTAACAGTAGAGCATGTTTTTGCTCGGGAGGTAGCGAGGGGTTTTCCCTCCGCTAGATGGAAAGCCGGCGGCGACGTATCGTAGGCTAGCGGGGTTTTCCACCACTAGGTATCTCCCACCAGCGGGGCACCGTCCCATCCAGCACAAGCTCTAAGCTTCCAACCGGACTCCCAGCATGTGAGCGTGTCAGTGTAAGTGTGTGTAAGGACGGAGGATAGCACAAAGAAGAGGTAGAGAAGATCGCGCGCGGTCCGTGGATCGTTTGCTAGGGTACTTCTCCGGCACCTGGTGTTCACTTGGTGTTGATCGGGGAAACCACGATAAACTACCGATCAGAGCAGCCAGCCGCTAGAATTCGCCTCCAGACAGCGAGTGAATTCGACCTTGCTGACAAGTTAGTGGCGAAAACCCTGCTACCGTCTGGACTAGTCCTAAGACCTCCCGGTCTGGGGGACTACAGTGACATCAGTTGATGCCTTCAACCATCTCTCCCGGTACGACTCGCTGCGGAAGGCTCCAACATTAAGTATAAATCTTGAAGAGGCATTTATACCAGTGCAAATGCACGATATTGAACGAAGGAAGATATTCTTACAAAAGAGAATTGAAGCAATTGTTTCTTATCCTGTAGAAAACAAGCAAACGTCTTGTTGAGGAAAATTGAGTAGATGCATTTCGTCTTCCGAGAGAGTTGAGAAAGTCTAAGAGAAAGTTACAGAAGGACAGAGATCTCGTGCAATGGAGCGCGATGGTATTACGGCGAGGAGGGGGATAGGAGAGAATCTATATTGATAAAAATGATCGATATTGATAAAATTCTGAATCGATTCAGAGAAAAATGATTGAGAGAAAAGAACAGATGGCTCGTAAAATAAGGGTTATAAACGGATTTCTGGTAAAGAATCTCGCAACCATGTTGACAAGTTTGAGTTATTAATTTGCAGATAATATACATATGTGTTTATTTAGTTAACATTAATTAGAGTGTTAAAACTGAAACAAATTTCGTGAAAACTTACATTTAAATTTTTAAAAAAACCTTGAGAATTAATGACTTGAAAATATGTCCTTCGCTAAAATATGTGAAAAACCTAAGAGTTAAACATGTCTAGTGAAAGAGATTACTTAAGAAATAAATGATTATAAGTCGTCATTGCCAACAATATTGTTTATTATAAAAGCAACTTTCGATAGCTTACTTATCGTCAGTTTTCTAGTACAAGGAAAAAACATTGCAACGTGAGTCAAAAATCAACATTAGAATAAATAGATTACCAACAATTTAAAATTTTAGAAAATATAATTAAAATTTTAAGAACTGAAAGAAAGAAAGAAAGAGGGCGTTTAATAATTTAATATTACAAGAAAGTGAATGAAATTGAATTTTTAAACATATAAAGTTTTTGAATCGAAAACATCACATTTCACATGTTCAAAATCAATTTCATTCACTTTCCTGTAATACTAAATGATTTAACACCACCCTTTATTTATTTCTTTCAGTTCTGAAAATTATATTATATTCTCTAAAATTTTCTAAAATTTTAAATTATTAGTAATCTATTTATTCTAATGTTGTTTTTGACTCACGTTTTAAAATGTTTTTTCTTGTACTAGAAAACTGATGGCTAAGCCATCGAAAGCTGCTTTTATAATAAACAAAATTCTTGGTAATGAATATCATATTATTATATCATTGTAAGAGCCAACGAAAACTCACCACAACACCAATATATTTAAGAAAGACCATTAATAAGAAACATGTTATACGTGTATCTGCAATGTAAACAGGTTTCTTAGTTATTTTTTATTCAGTGCATTTAAACGATCAGTTGAGGTCTCCTTAATGAATTTCGTTTAATGTTATTTTTTGACAAATGAAACCATGCTATGATGCATCTCATAACTCTGGAGATGCTGCATTGGAGTTGAATGCTCTTATCACATCAAGCCAAAGACATTTATTATATTATGAAAATAAAAAAAAATATTTTAATATCGACACACACTAAAACAATGTCAATGGAGGACTCCTCACACTTCGAGCTAATGTTTTAAAGATTTTCGATATAAATTGTTGTAAAATATCAGCACCTATCCGGTCACATTAGGAAAACCTATCCTGTAGTTCATGAAGATTTCTACCTCAGTAAATGTGCTCAATTACGAGCACGCATACTTATAACCTTAATGACAACACTTAACAATGGCACATTATGAAAGGAAGTGTGTGATACACCCTCTAAATGAAATATTGCAAATTACATCGTCCTTGGTGTGGTGCGCAGATTTCCGCGCGCTCCATTTCAAGCAATGCGGTTAAATTACTTGACCGCGTATTAAATTTGGTGTGCTTACTTGCAGCATGGCGCTGATGGTGCTGCAGTATCTGGTGCCGCTGACGGTGCTGGTGATCACGTATTCGCTCATAGCCACCGTGGTGTGGGGCCAGCGCACGCCGGGCGAAGCGCAGAATGTCCGGGATCAGCGCGTCGCACGCTCCAAGCGCAAGGTAGGAGAAGCTACCAACATTTAACTTTCATTAGGACACTGCTGCCACGCGTTATCTTGACCACTCCAGTACCGACATTAGTTGTATGATGAATAAAAAAATAACAGTGAGCGATGTTCACAAAATTCTGAAAGATCCAGATATTTTCGTGTAATACAAACTGTTTGCTTCGATAAAGGAGCTGCACATTTAATATAACAGTCTTGCCTCTCACAAGAACCAAAAACCAACTCACCCAACTCTTCCTGTATCTTTCGAAATGAGAGAGGAAGAAAACGTTACAGGAATTCATGCAGCGCCTCTTTAATCTGATCGAATCCTTCACTCTTTTACATTTAATAGACATGTATCGCTACGATGAGCACTTGTTCGTAGTATTGATGCTTTTTTAATAGGTGTCTCTTCGGTTTTCACACATTTTTCTCTATTGTTCTTAATTTTAGTTGTGATAAACATTTTCAAAACTCTAAAGTTATATCACACAAACAGGTATTCTTTGCTTCCTTTTTAATTCATTGACGGAAAAAATTATTCAGAAGAATAGAGGTGTTCTGTTTACACATATGGAGCGCATATATACCCGTTGACTTTTCTCAGTGATACATGACGATTCAACGGCTCGGAAATTCCATGTTATGTTTTGTCGTAATTGCATATCTGAAATTCTAATTCTGTTACGAATAATATATTGTTTCTGTTGGCAACATCTTAATACAGTATTGATTAAAATATCTCTTAGAAATGTTTTTGACAACGCTTCATTCATTAGAACCAGTATATTAAAGATAACTATTGATTAATTAAAGGAAGTTGGCAATTTCAGCATTTCCTGTGATAATGCGGACCACCGGGCTAAAATCTTCACAAGAGAGAAAGAAACATTTTCTAGATATATGCAACGGCAAAGTTTTATATTGCGTGAATTGAGGTCCAAAAAATATCTGACTATATCTGCTCACCTTGAAGCTTTTGTGCTTGAAAATTTCAATTACATTCATTAAAAAAATGTTTAAAGAAACACGCATTTGAGAGAAAAAACAATTAAGCGAACAAATTATGTTTGTCGAGTTACGAACCCTTCCGTGACGGACGCTGGTGGAGCAATTTATGATGTCAAATATTAACAAATGTCGTAAGTACATAAACAAGCCGTAACACAAAAAAGAGTGAAATAGGGAACAAACACAAGAATCTTCTCCAGATAAAAAGTTATCGGATGATAGTTTAATATCATCACTAATGATTTAGAAACTCCCTTTAGTTGCTTTTGTGACGTGATAACGTCGAGGTATTTTGTCTAAAATCTTGATCACAGGAAGAAGTTGCATAGGTGTCCATATATTTAATGGTTTAGAATTAATAAGAGAGCTTCAGAGTCCTTGTCTGAGATCAGCTACGAATACAGGCCATGAGTTCAAAACTATTTGAGCTAAGTATAGTACGTGACAAATAATAATGAGAGTAAAGAAAAGCGTTAATGAAACAGAATTACTCCCTCTATATTACTAGATATTTAAATTCTTAGTGTATTTACGACTGTTTTCCTCTCATATCCCTTTGAGTGTCGCTAGATGGTCCCATCCTCGTCTGAGACTATTTTTCTCAAGGTTCGACCTCCGAGGACCGCATTCTTCTTCCCGACCATCGCACGGATGTAACTCGCGAGCACATTTCGGCTTCGCACATTCAATCTTCGTACCAGGTGAATCTCCTGAGTCCATCTATGCTTGGTCCGATTTAGAGTAAGAGAGGGAGGCTGCATCTAGATGGCGCTGATACTGCCTCCAATGGCCCCTTACGTCGCGCAGACCTTGAACCTATTTCACCCGTACAAGGTATCAGGGAAGGAAACGATTGAAGGTTATTTTTTCAAGAAACAAACTAGTCTAAATTAGAGATTTTTCGAGTCACAAAAAATTAAGCATAAAAATCTTGTATCATAGATGTGCATTGTGATACATTTATGATTTTTTCCAACTTTTATCTTTCAATGTGTTTGGCACTTATGGAAAGAAAATGTCCCTACATATAGCGCAGTTGTCGATAATATAGAGGTGAAATATCTCAAAAGATGTAATGTTTTGAACTTATTTTGTTCTTGAAACAAAACCCTAAATTAGCATTTGTTGAGGTTCAAGTGTGATATATGTTGAGCACAAAATGCTCTCATATGCCACCACGCAACAAAACATCCATGACTTATGCAGAATTCGAAGCTACCTCCTTTGTGTAACGCGTACTTGGGCTCAAGTCTCCACGATTTTGCGCCTACCAAGCCAGGTAGTGAAGGAAGGGGATCGAAAGGCGATACATGATATTTGGCGCCCATTATATCACAATTCACAAGCAAACATTCATGACTGAAGCGGAATCCGAACCCGCAAACTTTTCTTGAGGCACTGTTGTTCAGAAAGGTTTCAATAATTTCAGTGATCAAATTACAATACTAGTTATTTACGTAAATGGTTAAAACAAGTGAGGCTGCCATCGAAATAAAATGGCGACGATAGGAAGCGAGTCCGGTATTTTTAGTTGACAACCCTAAAGATACTCGTACGATTTGCGTGCATTACTATTTTGTTCGAATTCATAGAAACTTACAAATGTAATATATTCTTGAGATCATTCTTAATAAGCAGGGTGGTATCCATGTCGATTCATCTCGCCCCAAGCTTCTCTTTCCTCTGCAGTACCCAGCAGTTTTACACGGCGCGACTTCATTACGATAAACGTACGGCAAAATACAACTTTTCATAAGTGTAGCGCAAAGTAACAGTTTCCCATCAATAAAGAAGGAAGATACGAACAATTTTCCACGCATGAGTGCGGAGAGTATTTTTGTGTAATTAACTTGCTCTCTCATACTACACTGTTCCTTCGCTGTTGTTAAATCAATATTTGAGAGAAAATTATGAACACCAGCCTGTATCAATAATTATTGAAAATGTTTTAATTGAACGTTAAATTGATATTTCAACTCAATATGTTTACAAATTAACCAACATGTATTTAACTAACTAACAAGTTTTATCTCAATCGGTTCGCTAAGTAATTCCAAACATGGGTTTTATGTAAAAAAACGAATTCTCTCAATATACAATAATTTGTTAATTTAAATTCAAATTACCGAATTAAATTATTTTCCTAATTCGATTCAGTGTGTATTGTCACTGCCAAATTAGTTTATTAGATGACACATTTTATATTAATTCTTAATGCACAAAATGCAGGGTATGCTATATGAAATGAAATATTCCGTGATGTTCAGATCAAATTGAATGTTGAGAAATGCAAGTAAGTAACATGCGTATCAGGAAATGTTAAAATCCTGGAATTTCTCAAATTCAAATTAATCAAATAATTATATATAAAAGCTCGCTTTGTATCTATCATGTCTGAAAAAATCCGAATGACATGTTTCCTATTCTTACTTTTTGACTTCTGTAAAATTTGATGTTGCAATGATTATGTGACAAAGATCAAAATTTGCAATTATGAGTACAAAAACCGAAACTAACTAAAAATGGTACATCTCGGGTTTCATAATGACTGTTTTTTTAATTGATACATTTAGTTTTAAAGATGAAAGTTAAAAAGATGAAACAGACAGAAAACACATCTCCAAAAATATGTTTACACTACCATTTACTGGATAACAGGTCATTCTAGTAAAATGAGAATGACAGTGTTCCAAACCATAAATCCAAGCGCACATCTGTTTGCCAACTGTGAAATACTTCCGTGTATTCTTGCAACCAATGTGACTGAAGGATCTAACAAGCAAGACGAAAGGAATAAGAAATCACCGCATACGAGGGGATCCACTTCCCTATCAAGTCGCGATGCCGGACGTTCTCATTGTTGCATTGACCCTTTCAACACGGCAAGAATAGAATGCGCATGAATAAGGCGAGCGCTCTATCTTTAACCGCTTGCGCGGGACTTCCTTCATCTCTTCTCCAAACCGGCTGCACGATTGGACGCTTTTCCTTACACCTCCACGCTCCAGCACCCGCTACTGCGTCGTTCCCCAATGATGTGTTTAGTGGTTGTAATACTAGCAGAATAAGACAAAGAATGAAATAATTGAAATATAATGCTTGAAAGTTTTTTTCTGAGTCTCTCCAGAATTAAAAGATAACCACGCAAACGCTGTCAAAAATAAATTATGCCAGCTCATAATGTAGTAAATTAAAAATGGCAAATAATTACTCTTCCGTTCAAATGTATTTCTAGTTTTTACTTTGAGATACGCAATATTACGGTATTTCTTTGAAATCTAACCGCATTCCATCATATCCTCTGTTGGACCAGAGAACTTGAGCCGTTACCATCATATCAATTCTCATGAAGCCGTCTTTGAAGAAAGATAATTAATAAATAATCCTACATTATTTAATAATTATCTTTCTTCAAAGACGGTTTCATTTCAGACTTGATTTCTGTCAAACATCCGATAGCAAAATGATATGTCTCGTGCAAAGAGTGTTTCATGTTTTTCTGGTGTTGAAGTATCTAAGGTTTATAAAATTCGTTTTATATTATTCTATGTTAATATCACAGTCATAATTTGAGAACTTCACACATCCTTGAAGAGAGAACCTTCCTGTATCTTTCCCGAAGCGAATGATAGTAGATCCCGGACAGTCACATATGGTTCATTATTGTTTGCATGTGTGGTAAATAATTGAAAGTCAACAATGTGATTCATTCTCTTTCTATCTTTCGCAACATTTCTACACATTAATTTAGAGGTATATGTATTTTGTGAGGGGAAAGTTATTTTTATCCTTCTTCAATATAATTTATTTTCAATATTTGAAAATGTGTTTAGTAGCACCGTCTATAGTGACGTACTTCAGTTTAATTTCTTTGAATAATTTTATGACGATTGCCCTCCAAGAAATGATAAATTCCCCCAGACGAAGATCAGGAGAAAATGTCACTGAGCACTTCCAATAAACGCCATCAAAATTAATTCCTTCCAGTTCAAATCTCACTAGATCAAAGTTCTGTTTTTCTTTTCCAGGAGACTCGTCAATTTTACATTGAAGCGAAAGCTTCTCTAAAAGTTAATACCAGAATGATTGAATTAATATATCGACTGACATTTTAACAAAGGTATTTTTAAGTAAAAAAAAGTAGAACGGACAAACAACGGAATTGGGAGTCAATGAAATCCTGCACAAGCTTCTTCGCAAAGC